GGTCATGATGGGAGTCATGTCAATCGCGCGATCGTCGCGCGAATCGCGCGATGGTCGCGCGATTGGCATTTGACCGATCGCTCCAATCGCAGACTCTGACATCGGCCATAGAACGTCCCTTATTTTTCATAGCACTTCATCATCGTTGTAGACTGTCTTCGTGATTCATTCGCAAGTCAGCACTTACGCCATATTGAGTTTAACGATCCATAATTTGGCTCTGCAGAAGTCCTAGGGCATTCATCCGTTTTCTAATTTTCCGTCCTCTAGCCATTGCGGCAGAGCGATTGGGGAAAATCAAGTAGTCCGTAAACCGTGCCCACCACCCGAGTTTATAGGAATCCTAATTGTAGTCTAAATCTAGAGATAGTTTGGCAACGCTGGGATGCACACTGGCAACTATGGAAAGAGGAAGTAGTTAAGACAAGGATCTTCAATTCCTTAACTTACGATCAGGTTGACATGCATAAGACATGTTCTGGAAAGCGCCCTCTAATAAATCTTTATGGATGATGATCGCTTCATTTTCTGCTGACTGACGTACTGTACCTCATCGTTTTCATGACAGATTCGGATTATCTTTTTGTTTTTGGCCCCAAAAACCGAGTTCAGAAATGGCGTTGGGAGAGGCTTTGTAGGAAATGAAAATTGCTTATCCTGATTCCCTCTTGGTTAACTAGGACATAAAGCGACTTTTTCGCGTTTCACCCGCTAAACCTTTTTCACTGCTGGATCCTTTAGTCTCTTCGCTTCCTGTCTAGCGATACCTCCCCTAGTTTTGCAGTTTTGCATCAAAATCTCATGTGGACGCTCATCCAGGCATTCCGAATTACATCAGTGGAGATCCTACGGGGCTATCGAAGTCTACAATAATTTCGTTTTTTTTACAGATATGTCGTCGCTAGACAATGATGACGACGACATTATATTCATAGAAGAGACTTTTTGCGCGGAACAACAATAGAGAAGCGTCTCTCTCTATAGGATTGCTGCGACTGCACTGCGTCCTACGTAATTACGGCTGATCCTGTGCAATATTTCTAACTTATTTGGAGGACTATCTGAAATATTCTAGCACTGCGTCGGCGAACCATTCGGGTACTCAGCACACTTTCTAAAAAATCTTTAATTTATGCGATCTATTAGGTTGAGTCGTACGTCCTCGGCCTTTTTAGCTGTTCTCATTTAGAATTGCTTTTTCTCTTACAAACTGCTCTTACAAAACCTTTCTTGGCGAGAAACTGACCGTATCTATGGACTCAGAAAGCTTGTTCGTGATGGGGATCTAGTAAGAAGATTCCAAAGCTTTCACCACCGAGTGCCTTAAAATAGTGGCATACGTCATTGAAAAATGATTTGCGTAAACTGCATAAAATTCATCAGAATGCATTACTTTGGTATCGGGTCTTTCAAAAAGTTGTGTCGTTTTTGACTCCTCACTTTTGGATGCTTTATTTTGTGAATCTCTACGCAAATTCTCACCGTTCAATATAACTTTTTGGAAAGCTATTACTCTGTTTTTCGTTCTTGAATACGGCATACTCAGAGCAGCCTGCATTTTTTCTAAATTCTGCTCACATATTTACGATGCATTTGCTTAAGCTTTGCAATAAATATGCTTAAAAGCAGTTGTCTAGAAGTTTTTATAACGATAGGAGAGCGTTGAAAAGGAATGAGGGTGTTGGTCTGGTATCGGACGTTGCGAACTGGGCAATTCTTGAGGTGCGCGTAAGGAGAACTTGAGAAGCTTGCTTACAGACTGGGCGTCACTTATTTATGGTTTGCGGTTCTACGGGAAGAGCCAGATAGCCCAAAACATTCGATAAAGGCTCGCCGTCAAAGATCCCCATTTCTAGGTTTCTTTGGTATTGTAGCTAGCTTAGTTAAAAGAAGGGCCTGCTTTTCTACTGTTTTGCGGAATACGATGTAGCGAGTTTACTTTGCTGCAGCCTACGGAGCTTTGTTGAATGGATGGACCACGATCATTCCATAAACTTTGCAAAACTAAACTACTCGATAAGGTTGCTGCTAACCAGTTCTCCGTTTATAGAGGCCTCTCTGTAGTTTGTAAAAATTTTGAATAACTGCTGATGCTTGCTGTGCGGTCATTGGCAGGGCTTCGTCCCCCATGCGAACATCATCCTATAATAGTAATTCAACTTCCCGATCAGTCGCCATATCTATGCAATTCTAGTTTCAGTCATTGAAGATGGAGCTGGCATCTCCAAAATTATGAGATTGGATAGTTACGAGCGACTCTTGGATGTGGAGGAAATAATCAGTTTGACGAAATCTTCCGAGAACAGGTAACAGATGATGAACTGCCCTCAGAGCTCCACTACGGTGCCATTTCAGGCGTCCATCACCTATCGAAGTATTGGAGCCCGTGAGTAATGAGTTTCAAGAACCTCTGTGCAGTGATGATGAAAAGAACGATGAGGTTTGTGCATGCTTATAAGCTTTTCTCAAAATTTGTTTCTAATAAATTTGCTTAAGTTTTCAGAGAAAAGAAAGAGGAAGGTGCCGAAGAAAAAGGTCCTATCTGAGGCTCAGCTACAGAAGCAGGTGTGGTTATTTATGATTCGACTACTTTGCTGTTTTGATGTCTCCCCCTGAATTGTTTTTTTAAACAATCTTCTTCTTTTGAAGGCTGAAAAGAAACGAAAGGCAATCGAGCGTGAAATCAGTGCATCTTTGAAATCCAAGTGCGAACAGCACATGTTCTGTCATGTCAGCCGGCGAATATTTGATGAATTTGGTAAGTTTTATCGTAATGTATTCTATTTATTTTTTAGGGTTGAATTTATAGTTTGCAATCGCCCGATCGCGTAACTAGCGGGAGATGCTTATCGATCGTACAATCGTCTCATTCATTTCGACAGTGCGATTGCATAAGCTAATGCCTTTTCCCAGACGCGGTTGTGCGATGGAACGATTCCAGACTATAATTGCTGCCATAGTTGTGCGGAGCATTTCAGATTAGCACCTCCTACTTTAGTTCATTTTGGTTTAATTATGTGCTTTGAAATCATTATTATTGCTATGAAACTATTGTCATTGTGTGTGCGCACCGAAAACATTCATACTCACCCCTACCAATGTGAATGTATTCTGTGTTGTGAAAGATAAATCGGAAAAGGATTCCGTGTTGTGGATGGTTAATCGGAAAAGTTTAAGGATTCCCTAATCTTTTGAAAAGTTGGACTTCTCCTAAGCGCAGCAGTGATCTCGTTCATTAGAAGCTGGGTTATTTGTTCCCTCCAAGAATGGTCTGCAAATGTAATGCTTTTTATTCAGTTTTTTGACGCGTTGCAGCTCAAATGGTCCTACTTGATAAAATAAACGCATATTCCATTTCCCAAGAATTCTTCATTCGCGACCACTTGAAGTTCACACTCGTATTTTGGCTGTTCGCGAGAGCGAACATCCATTGATCTCTCTCTTTTTCTAGCGGCAACAGTGCTCAGATAGAGAAGCTTTTATGATTATTTATACAATGAGCATGAGTAATCTATCCCTTTCAAACGATACTATTTTCACTAGCAACCCCGAACATTCAAAACGATGCGAAGATAAAAACAGAAAGGTGAGGTCAAATCAACAGGAGAACAAGAACTGAGCAATTTCACTCAGTATCGCTGTAGTGTGCTCTCTTAACAAATCTCCAATATCTTTAATAAATCGTGAGTATATGTATGTAGTATAACTATACTACTCCTAATCTAGCACACCAGGGGAACTACAAAAGGATCCGTGTGAGGATAACATATCTATTGATGGAAACTTCACGGAGCGGTACTACTCCTCCTGTAGTTGTTGCTGACTAACAGGCAATAGTTCAGCCTGCAGCACAGACCGCCGTCCATTCGCTTTCCATTCTCGAGTATGGTTCCAGTCAAGAAATATCGCGGCTGACAATATGAATTTGATTTTTATGAAGAAATGTGAAAAGCTAGAGGCAAAACGAAGGCTTACTTCCAGCTATAAATGGCCAGATATACAAAGGAATACGCTTCTTTAAGTGATAAGTCCAGGAATGCTGCGCCAGGATTCCTAAAACAACGCTAGACTGAGTCATTACTTTAATGTATAATTAAGACATACGCCTGAATGACGAGAAAGCTGAAAATTGATTAGTACCATTAAATACACGAGACACGAGATGAGACGAGCAATAGCGAGAGAACTTCTCTAAAGTACGAACAGGCTCGGAGGATTTCAAAACCGAAGGTAAAGGGAAAGAGTAAATACGTCATTGTAAGGAATTCAATGGACTGAGAACAGAAGTGGTAGCTACACAAAACACGCAATGGTGTGTCGAGGAAGGGGCAAAAAGTATACTTCGTAATTCGAATCTCATTTCCTTCAACAAGTTAACAAATTTTCCCATACTCCTGATTGGTACCAAGCTTACATGTGAACCCAAAAATACTCACCAACGAAGGAAAAGAACATGGATTAGCTGCTCTCAAATAGTAATTGCAACAGACTTTTCTCGCTTACATTTTGATCAAAACTGGCGTTCAACAGTGTCAACATCATGAGAAAAAGCAACGCTAGCGAGTATGAAACTTGAAACTTTTACTGCGACAATTCCGTGCTCTCGTGTGTATTGCAGAAGCTGCACTCATTAGACGTCCGTAATTTTTCAGGCAGTTCATCATCGTTGTGATTGTTTTCGTGATTCAGTCGAAGTAACACTTCCAAAAACCGAGTTCAGAAATGGCGTTGGGAGAGACTTTGTAGGAAATGAAAATTGCTTATCCTGATTCCCTCTTGGTTAACTAGGACATAAAGCGACTTTTTCGCGTTTCACGCGCTAAACCTTTTTCACTGCTGGATCCTTTAGTCTCTTCGCTTCCTGTCTAGCGACACCTCCCCTAGTTTTGCAGTTTTGCATCAAAATCTCATGTGGACGCTCATCCAGGCATTCCGAATTACATCAGTGGAGATCCTACGGGGCCATCGAAGTCTACAATAATTTCGGTCTTTTTACAGATATGTCGTCGCTAGACAATGACGACGACGACATTATATTCATAGAAGAGACTTTTTGCGCGGCAACAACTAAGAGAAGGTCTCCTCTAAGGATTGCTGCCGATGCACCTGGTCCTAGTAACTACGGTGAGTCT